TTATCGTTTAGGTCGTCCCACTTTTATGTACTTGGGGAAACTGTTTCCTCATTTATTTATTAATAAAAGTCCTACCTCTTTTAATTGCGAATTTTGTCAATTTGCCAAACACACTCGTACTTCATTTCCTCGATTATCATACAAACTCACTCATACCATTTAGTCTGGGGTCTTTCTCGTGAAAAAAATATTTCTTGTGCCCAATGGTTCATGTCTTTTATTGATTATCACACACGGGTGACATGCATCTATCTTATGCGTGACAAATCCGAGGTAGGACCAATATTTCGTGCATTTTATCAAATGATACTCACTCAATTTGACACAAAAATTCAGGCTCTCAAAACAAATAATGCACGAGATTTTTTCAACACCTCCCTAGGAACTTTTCTTACTCAACATGACATCCTTCACCTTAGCACGTGTGTTGATACTCCTCGTCACTTGTTGGAGGTAGCCCGCTGTCTCATGTTTACCACATCGGTCCCTAAATGTTATTGGGGCGAGGCAACATTGACTGCTGCCTACCTCATAAATCGGATGCCCTCTCGTATTATGGGTTTCTGTAGTCCAATTGATGTCCTTCTTCGCTCCTTTCCAAATACATGTACACTCTCTTCAGTTGTCCCTACCAAACTATTTGGTTGCTCCGACTTTGTTCATATTCACAAACAACACTGCGGTAAATCAGACCCCAAATCTGTCAAATGCATATTCATAGGGTATTCAACCAACAAGAAAGGCTACAAGTGTTATTGTCCTTCAACTAAAAAGGTCTATAATTCTATGAATGTCACCTTTTTTTAGCATCAATTATACTACTATGGGTCTGTCATTCAGGGGGAGAGTAGTCGTAGTGACAACAGCCCTGTGTTCCTTTACCAACTGACACGGGTCCCTCGCGGACTGTCAAACCTCTTTCCTCTCTTATTCAACCTCCTCAGTCTACACAACCCACACCTTCTCCTATTCAACCTCCTCAGTCTACACAACCCACACCTCAGGAACTTCGGGTCTATACAAGACGAAACAGAACTGCTGAACGAATAAAGAACCTAACACCGCTTCCAGCTGCTGTCCAAGAATCTAATCCGGCTCCAAAACGGCTCCAAAATAAAATCCTTTGAAACTCACTCAGGTACGGAATCTATAGACACTAGTGATTATGAGCTTACCCCGTCTGTGAAAGATGATTCTGATGTTCCTTGCACTCAACATCCTATTGCCTGAATTGTTTCATATGAGAGGTTATCTCCTCCCTATCATGCATTTGTAACTGCTATTGACAGCATAAAGGTTCCGAACTCTATTCAGGAAGCTCTTTCACACCCGGAATGGAGAAAAGCTGTGAATGAAGAAGTTGCTGCAGTAAAAAAGAGTGGAACGTGGATTGTGTCTGATTTGCCCAAGGATACGAGACCAGTAGGATGCAGGTGGTTTTTTACAATCAAATGTAAGGCAGACGGAAGCATAGATCGGTTAAAAGTCCGACTGATTGCAAAAGGTTATTCTCAGTCATATAGAATTAACTACCAAGAGACATTTGCCCAGTAGCCAAATTGAACTCCATTAGAATCCTACTCTCCATTGCAGCAAACTGAGACTGACCCCTTATGCAATTTGATGTCAAAAATGCATTCCTTAATGGAGATCTGGAAGAGGATGTATACATGGATTTACCGTCTGGTCTTGAAGGGTCCTTCCCTAGTGGCAAAGTATGCAAGCTCCAGAAATCTCTGTATGGTCTCAAACAATCTCCCCGTGCTTGGTTTGCACGATTCACCAATTCAATAATCAAGTGCAGTTATACTCAAAGCCAGGCTGATCATACAATGTTCACAAAAAGATCCGAGAAGAAGATTGTTGTACTTATTGTGTATGTTGATGACATCATTTACCGGTGATCACACTGAAGAATTGACAAAGCTGAAGAAGTTTCTAGACCATGAATTCGAATCCAAGGACCTCGGAGACTTGAATTATTTCTTGGGAATGGAAGTTGCAAGATCCAAAAGGGGATAGTCGTAACTCAAAAGAAGCACACATTGGACCTATTGAAAGAGACTGGTATGCTTGGATGCAAACCAATAGATACTCCAATAAACCCGTATAAAAAGATTGGAATGGAGAATGATAGTTTACCTGTCGACAAATGACAATATCAGCGGCTTGTTGAAAAACTTATTTACTTATCCCACACCAGACCAGACAAAAATTTTTCAGTAAGTATAGTAAGTCAATTCATGAACTGTCCTACTAAGGAACATATGGGAGCTGTCAACCGTATCTTAAGATACTTAAAGATGACACCTGGGAAAAGATTATTATTCCAAATGAATGATAGTCAAAAGGTAGAAGTCTTTACTGATGCTGACTGGGCATATCCACCTGACGATCAACCTCTGGGTATTGCTCGTATGTATGCGGCAATCTAGTGACATGGAGAAGCAAGAAGCAATCGGTAGTATCTCGGGGTAGTGCAGAAGCAGAATACAGAGCACTAGCGCTTGGTATCTGTGAAGGAATGTGGATCAAAAGATTTCTCAAGGAGCTTGGAATTATGGGAGAAAATTCTATCAAGATGTTCTGTGACAATCAAGCTGCAATCAGTATCACAAAGAATCTTGTTCATCATGACCGAACGAAACACATTGAAATTGATCGGAACTTCATTTCAGAGAAGGTGGACAATGGAATCATTGAATTGGTCTATACTCCTTCTAGAGACCAAACCGCAGACATTCTCACCAAGGCTCTCCCTAAGTCCAGTTTTGATGAGCTAACCAACAAGTTGGGCATGTACAATCTGTACAACTCACCTTGAGAGAGAGTGTGGCATTACGCTCCTTATTATTATTTACTTTAATTTTATTTAGTATTTGTTATATTTAGTCATAGTATAAAAAGGGTAATTCCTTAATTATAGGTATTTATGTTTATTCCATAATTATAGGAATTACTTAATTGTAGGAAGATTTCTTTCCTCTTTTTATCTCTTGTACTCGCCTATTTATAGATGAATTATCTACGTATTCAGTGAGAAAAAGGATTATTCAAAATTCACAGGTTCAAATTTTGAATTCCCCAAAATAGTTTTGAGCTGACTCCTCTATATAGTTTAACCATTGTGTTGCAATTAAGAGAATATGAACCTTTAATCCTCATGAACATAGGGAGGACTAAGAAACAAAGTAAATGTAAAATATGATTAGTGGAAAGAACGAAGTGGCGTTTGGGATCCTATTTTAGGGATTTTAAGCAAGATTTAGCTTAACGCTATCCAAAGAGGTTTTTTTTGGGAGTGGGGTGGGGTTCTGAAATCCCATTATTTTGACGTCTCCCATTTTAGCCACATTACTAGGTTAAATCAAAGATTTGTTAAAGCCCAATATTCACAAAATTTAATATATTTTAAAAATCTATCCCTCACAAATCTTTAATCCTGAAACAAATAGCAAAACAATGTATCAAATTTTAGCAAAGATTTAACAATTGTCATGCCTAACAACTTTCAGGTTTTAATCCACTCAAGATTCATTCAATCTACATTTACAGTATTTACTAAACCATTTTGAATTAAAATCTTAAAAGGGCTTAAGTTTTCATATGAGGTAAAGGACGTAAGATGATAAACCCAAGCACCAATGGATGGGCTTCTTACAACCAAGAACTCAACCTTGGTTTATGGCAACCCGGATATTTGCCACATCAGCTGCCATCATGTCAAGATTCTAGCAACATAAGCATTCCCAGTAAGTTCTCAGTCAAGACATTACAGCACAGATGTTTAGCAACCTCAGCAATGATGCCTGAGTTTTCACAACCAATTACTGATATTCAAGAAGCTAAGCCAAAGGCACAGCTTATTAAGTTGGGTAAGAGTTCAACATAAAAGAAGAAAAATATTAGAAAATGAAGTTAACTGATAATTGATTCAAATTTAATGCCCCCATTAAATGAAATGAAATCTTGAGTACTAAACAAAAACTATAAATTGTTTTTTTTTTTTCAAGAAAGGAAATGCTATCTTAAGATTTTATAAATTGCCCCAAGAAGTTACCGAGCAGCCAAAAAAAGTTAAGACAAACACAAAAACATCTTTGTTATGTAATATCAATGATAACCTTGTTTGGATAAATGAATCTAATTCATCTACTAAATAGGAGCTAGCATAGAATGAACAGTTCTTGAAATTATGGACACATTTTGTTGTTTCAAATATGCTTCACTAAATTAGCTCGTTGGGCATTCTATTTGGCATAGTATGGCACTTCAATGATTTGGATTTGAACGGCAACTCTCAAGTGAATCCTACAAAACTAGATTATTGTAGCAGGGCTTATTTGGAAAATTTATAAAAGCTAATTTTTAAAAACAGTGAATTCATTTTCGTTCATTTTGAGCGTGGAAATAAAATCATTACTTTTTGGAAAGTTTTTGGAGTTTGAATTCGATGTTGGTCTCTTATTGTACCAAACAAAATGATCGATGTGACACACTTCAATGACTAAAAGTTTGCTTTCAAACTTCACGTAACCAAAAAGGCCCTCAGTTGAAACAGATCAAATGGAAAACATTCAAACAGAAAAAATTAAATCATTAATATCATCCTAAGTTGTAGCATTCAACTGTAAGTAATCATAATGAATATTGTCCAAATGTTTGGTACTTTCCAGCAGAAAAAGGTGCATATATTTCTGTGTTTGCCTAGCTTCACTGATAACGTAGATATCATCAATCAAACAAGAAATATGTGACTTTGATGATTATTGATAAACAGAGCATATAGAACAGCATAAAGATAGATATGAGCACGCTTGAGAAGAACTCAAACATACGCTTAAATTTATAGAATAGCAACTGAGAAAACGTGGGTATTACCAGATCATGGTACACGCGCAGTCTTTCCTTCACAACATCCTCAGAGTCATCAGCTCTAGTAATGAGCTTTGACGCACACTGAGGAGGTGGTGGGAGTGGAGCCATTGATATTCCAGGTCTACCATTTTCTCCCTTTAAATGAATTGAGGCGACATTGAAATTTTTGCCACACTGGCTGCAAATCCTTCTACCAAGGCATTTCTCGATAAGCACCTCTTCTCTAAGCTTAAGATTCACTACAAGATCTATATCCATTATTCCCTCAAGTATTTCCTGTTAATGTAAAATACGAAATTACAAAATAAGTACATTATTGGCAAATAAAACAAAAAATGCATTCATAACAGCAAGCAATTAAAATGTAAAAAAGAGAATATTACCTCAGGAATGATAGTGTTAATCCTCTTAATAAGTATAATTCAAAATGTCAATGCTGATTAGTATAAGTGTTAAGAGAGCAAAGCAAAAGGGAATCAAAGTTTGGCTAGATAGACCAAAGATCAAACTCATTTTCAAAATAAAAGCTTAGGGTCTATTTGGCGGCTACAACTTATTAAAAAATAGTTGTGAAGCTACTCAATAATAATCTGATGCTCAAAAAGTTGTGGTGGATATTACAATTTTTTTTTTTAAGTCGGACAACAGCAAGAAAGCTACCACCGCTCTTAGCCAGGAGTGGTGGAAAAACCCAAATTACAGCGGAAGCTTTTGAAAAAACAATCAAAACATAGTTTATCCAAATAGAAAAATTGAGGTGTAGTGTCGCACCGCCACTACGTCGTCCCCCCAAACGGACCCTTAGTCCTAAAATTGAAGACAACCTCTTGGTATTTCTACTCATATGTCCAATGTGGGATTAAATCAAAAGCTTTCACGTCCCTTAAAAATCTCTAAAGGGGTGTTTGGCTACAATAGGAGTTAAGTTAAAAAAGATTTAGTAATTCCAATAAATCCGACTTTATCAAATCCAAATGTTGTAACTCCATAATAGTGTTTGGTTCAATTTAAAGTTAAATCCAATAAATTTGTTTATCATATTTGGCATAAATCCACTCCTTCAATTTTCTTCCTAAGTTAAATCCGAAAAATCCACTTAATAATTGGATTTAATAAATCCAGATTCAGACTAAAAAATTAATGAAAGAGGAGGATTTTTGGATTTAAAAGAATTCGGATTTAACTTCCTCATGTTTTTTGTTTGGCTGGATTTACATTAATATTAACATAAATCCTGCACAATTCCGGCCTCCCAACGTCCGGTCACCCGCCCCCCCCCCCCCCCCTAAGTTACATGAAAGCTCTTCACATCAACCATCACTATCACTCAAAACAAAAGGTTTTAACATCATTAACAAGCACAAAGAGCCTACTTGAACATGTTTGGATTCTTTGCTAGCAGGATTTGAGGAGAAAACTTAATAAGGATTTAACCTAAATACTACGAAAAAGCCAAAAAAGGACAACTTTAAATCCTACAAAATCTTCACTCTTACTCTTATCCGGTTTTGTTGTAAATCCCAAATTTATTAAATTAAAGAGTTCGGCGGATTTACAAAATTCATCAAAAGAACAAAAATCTTCTTCATCCCCATTCTCGTTGGCATCCTAGCGTATGCCATTGTGCCTTTGGGCAAAGCCAATCCTAATCAAATTTAGCTAAATTCAAAAGTGTCACAAGTTCCACTTCTTCACTCACTGATGATATTGTCAGTGCTAGAATATTGGTCTTATAAATGCCACTAGCTTACATCGCCATGTTCCTAGGTTTAGGAGAAAAGCCTTTGCTAATTATTACTTGTTGATATCAACAAATATTACATGAAGGAAGAGGTTAGAAAATTGGAAGAAAATTTAGGTTAATTAATGGTAATACTTATTAAGATTAATGCTTCAAAAATCTTCTTCATCCCCATTCTCGTTGGCATCCTAGCGTATGCCATTGTGCCTTTGGGCAAAGCCAATCATAATCAAATTTAGCTAAATTTAAAAGTGTCACAAGTTCCACTTCTTCACTCACTGATGATATTGTCAGTGCTAGAATATTGGTCCTATCAATGCCACTAGCTTACATCGCCATGCTCCTAGGTTTAGGAGAAAAGCCTTTGCTAGTTATTACTTGTTGATATCAATAAATACTACATGAAGGAAGAGGTGAGAACCTTGGAAGAAAATTTAGGTTAATTAATGGTAATACTTATTAATATTAATTGTTGATCATATTATTATTAACTACTTTTATATAGTTAAGACAATTTTCTTAATTTTAATTAATTTTATATTTTATTAATTATGATATATGAATGTATTATTAAATTCAAATTCTTCTTAATTAAATTAAATTAAATTTTTAATCAATTTTATTGATTAATCAAAGATGATTGATTACTATCTCATCTTATGATGGTTATAATTTAGATAATTCAATTAAAATTGGTATAGACTAGATAATGATTCAACAACAACAACAAAACCTTAATCTCACTACGTGGGGTCGGCTACTTGATAATGATTAATTAAAGAAAATTAAATATTGATTGATGATTTCTTAGTTTAGTAAAATTTTAATTAATAATTGATTAGTTTGACAAATAAAAAATTAATGATTAACTAAATAATATTACCACAGTGATATTCTATTAAAATTCTAAGTGATTAATAAACTTAATAAATAACTAAACAATAATTAGTATAATTATAAATAATAAAAATTTAAAAAAAATTAAATCACTCTTAATAAGTTAACCATAAATAATTGATATTTAGACCTTATTTGAACTAACGGACTTAAATCTCGAAATAAATTACCAAACAACCTATTAGAAATTAATCATATTTAACTTCTATTACACCAAACAACATTCAGGATTTAATTATCTCAAAATTTATTAAATCTGGATTTATTAGAGTTACTAAATACTACTTGAGTTAAATCCCACTTGAAACCAAAACAACCCTACAAAATTGTATTGAAAGTCAACCGCACCTTACTTTACTCAACCACAATAAAAGGGGCCACAACCAATGGAGCACACATTAGATGAATCATTAGATTTAGAGTGTGTTTGTTTCGGCTTTTTCGAACCACGGTTCATTAAAAACAATGTTTCTCCCATTTTTATATCACTTTTCGCGATCGGTCTTTCCCATCCGCGTTCCTGGGAATAGTAAAAACGCGAATGAGATAATATATATGAGGTCGCTGCGGCATGTGTAAAATTTACCCATTGCCCTCGCGACGTCTTCACGAAGCCTGCATTCCTACCCTAGCGACCGCGACGTCTTCTTCAAGCCTGCAAAGCTTCGTCTCTTTCCCGAAGCCCACAAATTTCCCTAGCGTTGTGGCCCACGTCCTTCCAGAGATTATGGCGTTTCGATGGGCGGCAGCGGGTGGTCGTCGGTGATAGCCGGAGGTGAGTGTGCAAAGGTTGGATGGGGGAGAGAAGAGGAGAGGAAGCGGTGGAGGAATTCGGGCCTTAGGAGAGCTATGGAAGAAGAAGGGTCAGTTGAAGTGATTCTAGAGGAACAAAGAGTTTTATTGTGATTCTCATCAACAAGATGCTTGCAACATGATGTTTAGCTTCTTCTTCTTCTTCATTGTTTTCTGGATTTAGTTGCTCTGTTCTGCTTGTTTTTGAAAGATTTGGTTTAATTAATCTACTGTTTTGTTTTTAGGAGTCTTTGATGTTAGGTGATTATTGGTATGATCTCTTTTGTTGTTATGATAGTTGCTATATTTGTTAGGTAATGAAGCAGAATCGTGTTAGGTTTCAAGAATTTTGTCTTAAATCCTTGGAAAATTTAGGATCAAAGCTTTTTCTTTTTTTTTTCAATTGCATATGTAGTCTTTATATTAACTCATACTTGATAACTTGAATGTAGCAAATCTGTAGCTTGCTTAGTAATGCAATTGGATCTGCTTCTAAATTTGTTCTTCTATTTGATTGACTTTAGCATTAAAAATGAGAAAACAATATTGAAAACTTGAATGCATTGTCCTACTGAGTTTCTATTCCATTTGCCCTGACTGAGGACGATGTAGCAGTTGCCTCAGAAGACTGCACATACAACATATGGTTTATAAGTTGCAATAAAATATCCTCCCAAAACCCACAATATCACCTCAATACCACCCTAATATCACCTCAATACCACATCAATATCACCACAATCCCACCTCAATAATATCTAGGCACAAAACCTCCAATATCATCTCAAAACCACTACAATACCACCTCAATAATATATTCTCCCAAAACTCACAATATCACTTCAATACCACCCCAATAATATCTTGACACAAAACCACCAAGGTCACCTCAATACCACCCCAATAATATATTATCCTAAAACCTAAAATACCACATCAATACCACATTATATCATCCCAATAATATCTTAGCACAAAACCCACAATATCACCTCGATACCATATCAATATCACCTCAATAATATATTCTCCCAAAACACACAATACCACCTGAATATCAACCAAATATCACCCCAATAATATCTTGGCACAAAAAACCCCCCAATAGCAACTCAATACTACATCAATATCACTCTAATACCACATCAATACCACATCAATAATATATTCTCCTAAAATCCACAATACCGTCTTAATATCACCCCAATATCACATCAATATCATCCTAATAATAACTTGGCACCAAACCCACAATATCATTTTGATACCATATCAATACCACCCTAATACCATGTCAATATTATCACATTTTGCAAATGCATAGAAATTTTGGTAGGTATGTAAATGCTCTTTTAGGCTCTCAAGATGCATTTTGTTGAATTTTGTTTGGTCTTACAGTACATTTTTTAATTTCAAGGCAAAGATAACCCTCATTGGAGAAATTTATTTTTGGCATTTCAATAGGGAACTTTGGAGAGAATGAAACATGTATTTTATTTTTTTTACAGTTAATATGGTTGTATTCTTTATAATTATTTTGAGAATAGAAAAATCGATTAATATTCACCTTAAATTCTCTTATGGTGTTGTGACTTATGAGTGAAAATAACTTGTTAAAATATATTAGATTTATTTCACAAGTAGCATTTTCAGAACTGCATTTTTGAAATGGAACTGTATTTTTCAAATTGAACTATGCATACATACTGAGAGGTATTACAGTCATTAGTCCACAAATAGCACTTTCATAACTGTATTTTTCAAACAGATCAACTGCTTCTGAAAAACAGTTTCTGAACAGCAGATTTTCATCAGTGACTTTTGAACTGAGATTTTGTACAGTCACAGCCAAAACAAATGCAATCATAACCAAACAACCACTTTTGATGGGAATGTTAGCTAAAATATGACAAAAATTTAGCCAGATACACAATAGTCAAACACATTTCAACCCAGATACTTATACCTATAGAGGAAAGCCAATGATTCAACATTTCTACACTAAAAAAATTTTCAACTGTTCATCTCAAGAGTACATATCTTGGCATAAAATGTACACTTCAAAAAATTGATGTTGTTGCCTTATGAACATTTCCCGTATTTTCAAGAAGAAAAATTCAGCTGATTTGATCAGTACAGTTGACCAGGCAAAGTAATTTTTCTTTTTATATGGCAGAGCTAGATTTGTTCAAGCTTCCAAAAAAAGCAGGCTTAACTTTTTTGTTAGGATAATTTGATTAAGAAACATGATTTTTGTGGCTTTGGCACATTAGTGGGGGACCTTTCGCAAGAAGCAAAGGAATAAAATATCATCTATTCAAGATTAAACGTAAGCCTTCTGATTAATTTTCTGATATGAGGCAATCAGATAGAGAACAACATGGATGCTTACATCAAATATAAATATCTTAATTTTATGTGACTTTGGAAATAACATATCTCTAAAGTCTTCAAGTAAATATAAAAACAATTACTGGTAAAAAAATAAGTAATACTTCATTGGTCTATTTCTAATTCAAAGAAATGTATACAAAAATAACTCTTCTTTTCTTCAGCTCTTTATGTGTTTCTCCTTTCTCGCATGTAAGCATTACCTAATCATGCCTAATTTCCATTTATTAGTTCGATAACTAAACCCATCCATTGCACTGAGTTAAAGGACTGCTTTGAATAAAATATTGACAAAGAGAAATTAAAATGGACCATAGTTGCTTTTTTAGTGAAAAAGGTAATAAAACTTTTATTTGCAATTCAGTTCAAAGGCTCCAATCACAGGCACAGAGACATAATACGACTAAAATTGTAATGATGCCTTGTAACAGTAAAAAACATTTTTCCTTTGTCGATCGCTAAAGAAAATAACAATAATAACCGATTTAATTATAAGGGTGAAAACTGCCACTTCTCAATGGAAATAGCAACCAGTGTTGGGTTGCATCACGCCACCATCATGTTAAGACCGAAAAAGGTAAGAAAAAATGTTTAAAGAAACAATAACAGAATAACTTGTTGCAGGATGCTGACACTAATCGCATACCATGCAAGGAAATCGATGTGAAAATTTGTAAGCCTTAAACGGTATTCTTATAGCTACTGCTGCCATTGCAAATTCAAGCTTCCTTGAAGGTAAGGGGATTTGGTTTGCTTAAAATAGTTTAGAAATAAGGCCTAATTAAGTAAGTATAAACTGCAAAAAAATAAAATAAAATAATTTAAAACTTTCGAGTTGCATATGAAACTTGTGAGATTCTGTGCATTTGTTCTCTGGAATATTTTCCTCTAGGCTAATAAAGTCTAAAAATTAGTTCGCCATTACTTCCTGTCTTCCTCATAAGAACCGCTTGGCGCTTGGCATTACAACGAAATATCATTTCTGAAATAAGCAGAATAAGAACAAGGTTTAATAACGAGTTTACATGAATAGGGAAGAATGGCAAGATATAACACCACGGTGCATTAATATGATGAGTTTTAAGAATTATTTGAAAACCAGAGAAGTTAAAAACAAGATTGTGTTTTGAGCACAGCAAAGCAAATCACCTGGAACTTATAGCTATAAATTATAACATAAATAATCTGGTTCAGAATGACTTGATAAAAATTAGGCTGCATTTAAATGCAATGACGTGAGAGCATTGAAACATTTTTTCAATGCTCTTATAGCTGGAGAAAACAAGTATTTGTTCAGATCAGCTTGGTATTTTGGCAAAACCAGCAACAAAGCAACAAAAACTAATTGTTCCCCATGGAAAAAATGAAATAATATTCAAAACATAGATCACCTAGAATCATGAACTGCAGTGCTAAGTTTGCATGTCTAACTAGTGAAGATAGGTTTTGAAAGGATCGTATACATGCATGCACACGTGTATGCTTAAATGAACAAGAATTTGTGTAAATAGGTCACATACCTAATGTAAACTTTATTTTGTTGTGAACCTGTTTGCACATGCAATTATGCATTCATAACAGTGACCAATGAGCCAAACACAAGTTGGCTCATTATGCATTCATAAACTCCGATGGGTTGAAGTTTAAACAGATAATAGAATAATGAACAAAACAAGCTCGAAGCCAAAAGTTGAGCCTCTCCGATGGGTTGAAGTTTAAACAGAAGATAGAATAATGAACAAGCCAAGCTCGAGCCAAAAGTTGAGCCGCACTCAGATTGATCACAAACATAAATATGAATTTTATCACACTATCTAAAGAAAGGCCAGTTGTTTTTGGTTTAACTTTAATTAAGGTCCTTTTGGCATCATTTTTGTTTTCTATTTTTTGTTTTCATTTTCACTTTGGTTTTTTAAAACATATTCGGATAGTATACTTTATATTTAGAAAAAACACCTTTTTTTAAAAAAAAACACTGAAAACACCTAAAAAATGTTATGAGTGTTTTTAGAAACAACTATCACAACCAAATATACTTTAATTCAAATCAAAACATAAATAATTCAGAATAAAACCAAAAAGATAGAAAACAAAAAACAAAAATGATCCCGATTAGGGCCAAAGAAACCTTGAACAAATCAAAGGAAAGGATTTGCTTACTGCTTGTTTTATAGTCCTCGGGAAACCATCAAGAATGAATCCAGATTCACCATTAGCTTCACCTCTTTCAAGCCGTTTTGACAATAAGTCTATGATAAATTCATCAGGTACCAATTTGCCTCGATTGACAATCTCCGCAAGCTACAAAGATAAATAAGGTCACAAAATAAAAATCAAATATTCTATTGAACTGCAAAAGCAACTTAGCCATATTGATTTGACACCTTCAACCCGAATATGAAAATCAGATTGGCAAAGTATTTGTAACAATGCAACATTGTATAATTTTATAGGACTGAAATGTTTAAAAGAAAGGTAAATCAACTCCTCTAAACCATAAGACAGTACAATAATCCTATAGTGTTCCAAAAGATTCCGATGATTCAAATCTCAAAGAAAAATTTTCAGAAATCCTATAAGATAGGCTTCAAATGGAAGCAATAATCCTTGGTCAGTAACATACACAATGGCCTTTGCCGCATTGCCCGAGAATTAAACAATCAGCACAGAATATATCAAGCACTTATATATGGTAAAAGAATTAGACAACACAACTTGGGCTTAGTCATGGATTTCTTTTAATAAAATTCAAGTTAACCCATTAGCTAGTACTATCTTTTTTTTTTTTAACCCATTAGCTAGTACTATCCTTTTTTTTTTTTCCTAACAAAAAGCCTGAAGAAGTAGGTAGCGAGTACATTATTGTTTGAACAATTGATGTTTTTAGAACGTAATAAATTTCTTCTACTATGTGTAGCTAAAGATGCAGACTAAATCTACAAATAATTTGATAAGCGGCAAAAGCATGTACATGCCTAAATATACGCAAGGAAGCCTTTCAACCCAAGATAATAAGTTATTGAACTAACTCTTCCAAGCATTGATTTGATTTTCAATCATGAAAAATAAAAGTAATCTTGGATATTTCCACAGATTATTAATGAAAGAGGAATCTTTGAACAGTTTAGCCACACAAACGCATTTCATCAGCATAAAGCGTTTGAGACACCTAAACCACACAAACGCATAAAGCACACATATTGCATCAATTCCTGCACAATTACATGCATGCATTGGTTTATGTGTATGCAATACAAATATACTTGCAATCAAACAATTACAACCTCAAAAGTACATACTGAATACATAAATATCTGCATACATTTCATCTGAATATATAGACACTCTCCATATATAAAAATAATAGTATAGAAATATAAACATGTTCATAGACTCCATATCTTTACCCCTCGACTCCCCCGGAAGATCACTGTAGTCATGATAGTTAGGTCAAACACAAGTGCACAAACTAGAGCACACTGGACTTGGAGCATAATAGACATGTGAATCATTTAAGCATATAAGCACAGTATGTGCTCGCTAAAATTTTCATTTAGGTGATTGCAGGAGTTTCACCTCGGTCAAAACATTAGTTTTGGCATAGTTTAGAACAAAACTAGGAGAGTTTCCCCGAAATTTTTAGGCTCTAAATAAAACATCCGTACAATTCATAAGTAATAAAAAAACAAAATCTATTAATAGTACATCATTAAGGCCCCCAAAAAATGCTATTATTACTTTTTATTTTTAAGGAAATGCTGTTATTACTCAAGCTTAATTTCACTGATCATCGTTGTTTCATATCGTATCCATGATTTAAAAGAAAAAAAACAACTAAGATTAATTTAGTAAACTATCAAAACTAGAACTTTTGAGCTGGACTTAAACTGAAACTAAAACTACATTTTAAATCTTTACATAAATGATATTGAAATAAATGCATGCATACGTTTATATTGATTGATAGGAATAGGTATGCAAAAGAAACAAGATATTTCTGAACAAACTCAAACTCCACTCAATAACCTGATCGGTTCAAATCAATCAGAAAATACATGAACTGAGATATATATATATATATATATATATATGCATGTGTGTTTATTGATACATAACAGATCTAAAATTTTCAAAAATGTGAAACGGGGGTTTTCCTCTCCTACTGAACCAGATCAGTTGCCCCCGCCCCCCCTCCCGCGCTTTTCATTAGG